CCTTCCGCCGCCGTGCCCCAATGCACGCTGAGATCCGGACAGCTGCTAGAATTGCGAATAGTGGCAGCCGATTCGTCGCCCCAAGAGAAAACGCCTTCAACGGCCATCGCTTGCGCTCCCGGTGACAAACTCGAAGACCCCAAGCCGGCGTTCAGCGCGTGTCGGCGCTCGCAAGGCGAAGTGTTGGATCGACCAATATGAGGCCTTGAAGCGGCCGCCGTGGCATTACTAGATCGAGAAATGGGCGTGGATCGAGCGACGGAGCGCCTCTCCATTAGCAGCTGTGCCATGGGTCGCCGCGGAATCGTCGCGGCGCTCGAATCGGGCACGACTCGTTCGGGCGAAAACGAAGCGCCTCGAGGAATGTCGTTGACCGCGTGATTAGGGGCTCGAAGCCGCCGCTTCGGCGTAGGGATCTTTCTCAGTGCGGCTGATTCCCCTGATTTGAAGTTGCGCTCGTTATCACTTCCTCCGAAGCTGGAACACGTCGATCCGCGCGGCTGTAGCTCGGTCGGAAGCAGAGCTTCGGCGGAGGCCGTCGCAGATGGTTTTTCCGAGGCGGCGTTAAGATATTTCAGAAGAATTTCGCGAAGAAGCGTCGCATCTTCCTCGCTGCGACGCCATGACGATCGATGCGACACGGCGACCGCAGCGGCGATGTCGTTCGTGTTGTCACACGCCGTTGGCGGGGGTGAAGTGGCGTCCTTCGGAGAATAACTGCCTTTTTGAGGCGGAGTGTGAGGCTGACGTGGCGAAGGTTCAGCCGCGCGGAGCGGGGAGCTTGGCCGTTGCACCATCGTAGCAATGCGGCGGGGTGAAACACCCGCTGCGGGGGCACACGCGACGCCGCTGTTCGGCATCGTCTCCCCCGCAGAAGGCGCCGTGGGAGGGCGCGGATCAGCGGGGAGGTCGCTCATTTGGGCGGTTGAAAGAATTTCCGCAATGTCCGGCACGAACGCCGCTGCAGCGCTGGCGCTCAAGACAAACTCGCCAGCAACGAGAGTGGGCAAGTCGAAAAAGGACCCCACAGGGTTGGACGGCGCTTCGGGTGGCACCTCCATTGGCGCTGGAACCGCGGCACAGCCATAATTCTGGCAGTTTTGGAGCGTTTCTCCCGCAAATGGTGATGGCAATGGCCACATTGTCGCAGGATCCGCCAACTTGTCAAGGGAAGCTGCGAGTACAAAGTCGTTCTGAAGAGCAGAGCATGTGGTTTGGAACGCACGCTCGTCGATGAGCAAATGGTCTGATAGAATGTCCATTGCAATAGTAGGGCCAGAAAATGTATCGATCGACACTGTTTGGAATAGCTGATGTGACGAGACTGTTGAAATGGGGAGAAGCTGAGGCATGCGAGGGTGTCGAGAAGATATGCTGGTGAAAAAAAAAAGAGAGGAGGATTTGTACAGTACAGTAGCTGGCAGGAGTGCGGCTAGGTGGGGATGAACAACGGAGTCAATTTGTTCATCGACCATTCCTGGGCATGATATCTGGCGAAAGCAAATGACCATCTCTTCTGTAACACGCACAGAATAGCCACCCCACTCCCATCGCTGGCAGACTAATGCAGTCCGTTTCCCCCCATGGGTGCGTGGCCGCCCAAAGTAGGGGGGATGAACCCCTTTGGTGTTACCCCGGCTATTGGTCGTAACCCGAAGAAGGGATGACATGACGAAGCGGAGAAGTTTTTCTCAGCGCCATCAATTGGTACAAAACGGACGAATAAGAGGGGAGGCGCGCGGCAAAGTTCGAAGAAAGGCTGGGTACACTGTACAGTAAACCACAAGAAGGTTACTGTGTCCAACACATCGGTGTCTCATCGCAGTCACAAGAAGAATTTCCACAGATTCTCCTTGATACTTGTTTGCGATCTCAATGTCAAGAATAGCAAAAGAGGCTTTTGTAACAACGTAAATAAGGAAGACATGCAGAACAAACCTTGCTCCTTTGTGACTTGTTCTCATCGTCAGAATGGACTTCCTTCGGGTTGTAACTGGCGTTGTCCTCATGACGTTGTTGGACAAATGGTGTATCAAATGAACAAAAAGGTCCTGACGCTCACCTCAAAAACCGCCTCACTCGAATTCGGAGATCAAATCGTTTTGCGATTTTCCAAGCACACCTTGAGAACACATCTGAGCTGGACGGTACTCGACAGCGTGGCTGCAAGTGCAAGCATGCCGTTTGCCCACTGGCGACGGGAGTTTGGCACGGCAGGCAAGCACGCCAGATCACCCAGGCCAGCCCCTGGCCCAAAACTTGAACTCGAGGGTTCTATTTGAGGTGAAAAATGTTATGAGGTTTAGAAGAAGTATATGAAAGAAGCGTGGGTGCTATTTGGTGCACCTTTTACATGCTGTCGCTAAGTAGCACCCGCGCTTGACATCCACACTTGGAGTGCTGTTTGGTACATAGTACTGTAGTTGCTTTGCCTGAAATGCCGTTCAGTTCATGACTCTTAAAACGGCAGTATACATTTGTCACCGGGGTTTGGGGTTTGTGAGTATGCCTCACAGTTTTGGGGCAACTTTTCAAGTTCCTAAGGATTTTGAACCCTTGCTGTCAAATGTATACCGAGGTTTTAAGCGAAACAGGTTGAGGAGGCCTGGCAGGGCAACAACATCCGCTACACCTACGAAACCGTGCAACTGTACTGTGATCTCAACCTAATCGTGCTTGGGCATGCGCGTAAGCCCAAAATGAACGGCAGTACGGAATTCGCGAATCCTTGTGGGACTGTGGAACATCCTGCCCGTTTGTGAATTTTTTTTATGGTTTCTTCCAGTTCCAGCCAGGTGGAGGCTTCGGGAAAGCACTGCATGAATGTACACCGCGCTCTCGCCAATTTCACGTTGGCGGGGGCGGGTGGCACGCTTGTCGCAAGTGCCAGGTATGTGAAATTGGCCGCAACTTTGCATTTGCGGCCAATTTCACGTGCAGTGTGTGCGATACTCGCCGCATGATGTGGAAAGTGATCACGACCGCATCTTGCGTGGCAGAAGGAATTGGCGACTCGGTTCAACCTGTGGATTGTGGTTGTGGTTGGCAGGGGAAGTAATGCTTCGTGGCAGTTTATAACATCAATTACTGGTTCGAATGCATTTCCCCAGATTGTGGGGGATTTTTGGACCACTCTGGAGCTGCCATGTAGATGTGGTACCCCCCTCTAGCTGCATTCTTGCGATTATGCACTCCGCCAGAAATGTGGGATGGCGAGGTGCACTGGCCTTGCTGGATTCCTTCGTGCAGATGACCTGTCATTGTTTGACCTTGGAGCTCGAGCTGAGCACGTGCATAGACACGTCAGATGTGTTCACCAAAGGCAGGACCCTACCCAGACTCCTCGAGTCACGACAGAGGAGGGGGTGAAAATGGTGGGATTTAAGTTGGCGAGGACCGTGTGTACACCTGTTTCCAAATGACTGCTCCTGAGCCTTCGGAAAGGAAGTGATCCAAGTCCCCTACCTTGTGACCGTCGAGATCGAAACGCCGCTTGGTGCCACTTCAGCGTCGTTTTCTGTCAAGCATATCGCCCTTGCTGTCAATCCCTGCTGACGCCACGTGAGATTCCACACGAGTTTCACCCTTCCACCAAACCAACGTGATGAACTGCGGCTTGGGCAGCTCTGCTCTGGAACAGCCTACAGTTGCGAACTGTAGCCTACAGTAGCCTACAGTAACTCTAGAAAACGGCGGGTTCGTTTTCGTGGGCCCAGTCATCGTATACAGTAAATGCACTGCTCATTTATTACGGGCCCATATACATAAATCAGTGTCAAAATAATATAACTATATTACTATCATTCCAAAATCATTTTAAACGAGTTCCGGATTAATCATAATATTCTGCTACAATAAATATTGACAAACTTTTCAACACCTCCTACAAAATCGCGATCACATATCTAACCAAACCCAGGCCAGCAAGGTGTACAAATTAGTAAGAATCTATTGAAGACTTTTACTGTTCTGTTAGTAAAACATAAGTTTTTTTGGTTTCAAATGCTAGGCTGTTCGCTATTCTAGCCTGTCGTTTCAATAAGCTGATTGATAGCGAGAATGTCGTAGGTAGCCGTTGCTGGAAACTTGGACAGACTCAAATTTGGTCGTTTGGCGGGAACGGCAAATTCGAGGCGATTCGACTTTCCCGAGATCAAAACTTCAGTCCCTCGACACTTCGGAGCTCTCTCCACTGCTCCCCTCAGAACCAATCTTCCTATCACACGGTCCCCCTTCAATCGCTCTTCCCATCTCTCCTCCCGTTGATCCTCTCTTCTCTTTCACCCCTCCCATTATTCGCGCCTAAAATATAGAATTGCACTTGGTATCTCCCACCAGCCAAGAGTCGTCCTCGCCTCTGCAACGGACTCGTCTTCACCTTATCTAATATATCTTCGCTCAGCGCTCATATTTTCTGGAACGCAATTCCAGTGTGTATCTCTTCACCCTCGTCTAAGCTGCGGCCTTGGCCTTTGGCTTTTTCAGCATAGAAAAAACGCCATCATAACCTTTCTACACGACGAAGCCTCCATCACACTTGCTCGACAAATTTTAGGGGTCAGAAACCTATAGCTTCCTCGTCCAATTCTTCCAAAATGCCGGCGCTCTTCCAAGAAGCTGACGACGTCGACGAATCTATCGTCAGAGCAGAATTAAATTCTGATAGATAGGCCGGCATAACTTATAACGTATCAAGAACTTCTGCTGACGTGGCAAAACCGTCGCAGTTTACTAGCAGGTCTACCTAGTAGGTATAGTCGTTAGTATCCGAGCTTCTGATAGTCTGTCCTGTTGTGGGGATCCGCCTTTGCTCTTATACTGACTTGACTTTAATATAATAAAGTGCAATGGCAATTACCACGATTCCAGCATCACCCGAACGGTTCGGCTGGTCGGGTCCAAAGTCTTCATGCTCGTCTCCCACAGATGCAGGTAGCCGGCCGCTCCCAGGAGGAAATCCGATTCCACCGTCTAAACTGCCGGAACGGCACCCGTCGCCGATGCGCCTACCGTCTCCCAGACGGTTTCCGTCACCTAGACGGCAGCCGGCGTCTCCGACACCGCTTGACAGGGGAGCAAACCGGTCGTTGAAGTTTCCGGCGGTTACTCCGTCGCTCATTAAGGACAGTCCGGATAAGGGGCTGAGGGGAGGTTCGGAGAAGGACGCAGGAAGGGACATTCCTGGAAAACGGGAAGGCCGCGTTACTAAAGCACCAATTGTAGCGCCCTTTACAGCACCGGCTCCTGTATCAGCTCCGGCTATAGTCATCAATTCTCATACCGCGAAACCCTCCACTTGTATCCCGTCTCCTGGCCTGAAACCGTCTGCTGCTGCCGCGTCTCCTGCACTGAAACCGTCAACTGCCATCCCAGCTCCTGCACAAAAGCCGTCTACATCTAGCCCGTCTCCTGCACGGAAACCGTCTACTTCTATTCCGTCTCCTGCACTGAAACCGTCTACTTCTATCCCGTCTCCTGCACTGAAACCGTCTACTTCTATCCCGTCTCCTGCACTGAAACCGTCAACTTCTATCCCGTCTCCTGTCTTAAAGCCCGCCACGCCGCCATCCTCCCCACCCAGTAGCTTCAAGTCCTTCGGTCCACCGGTGTCAAATGATACGGCGGAAGCTGCAGATTCAGGAACCAATTCGGCCGGCCAAGCCTTGCAAGCGGTGGCTGCTTCGTTTGTTCCAGCGTTCGGCGCGAAGCTTGCAGATGGAGCGACCGCGACGGGGTCACGAGCAGCGAAAAAGGCGAATTTGACGCCCGCGTTTACTCAGCCAGACAGAAAGCGGAGCTCCACCCCCACGTTCTCGCGTCCGGAACGAAAAGCAAGTCCCACACCCGGCGTGAGCGTAATCAGCGATCGGATTCGAAAGCAGAGCCCCGTGCCGTCCATGATGTCACGTGCTGTACCACCCGTGACGCCACATCTTGACCGGAACGACCCTCCTTCTCTCGAGCTGCTGCGGGAGGAGAGGACGGAGCGGCCGACGCTGAGTTGGCAGCCCCGCAGTCAAGGCGTGAGGGGCGTAGCAGCTTCGGAGAAGAGCGCAGCAGCACGAGGCAGCGCACGTGGGACTAGTGGCGAGGGCGAGAACAATGGCGCTGGTAGTAACGGGAGCTGCGGAAACGGTGACAGTATCGGTGGTAATGTGGTCAGGGTATGTGGTGAGAAGAGCGGTGGTGGTGGGGCCAGCGGAAGCAGTGAGTTCAGAGGTGGTAGTGGTGGAACAAGCGGGGGCAATGATAATATTGATAATCCTGGCGGTAGTGGAACCAGCGGAAGCAGTGGAAAGACGAGCGTGGTGGTAATCGGGACGAAGAATCGCAATCCTACGCGGGATGAAGAGGCCGAGGGGAAAGGCATGGTGATAGCGGTGAAAGCTTTGAGTGGTGGGGACGGGCGGAAGGAGGAAGCGGCGAGGCAAGGCGGGGCAGCATCTGTGGATGAAGCAGGGATCGAATCGGGACAGCGACGCATGTCTCTTAGAAGGACGACTTCTGTTGGTACTGGCGGGTGGGTTGACCGGGTGACGGTAACGAAGGGCCCGAAGGAGAGGTCTGAAATTGGTGAGACAGGACTGCCAAGGACGACAGTGGCAATTGGTGGAGTTGCACGAGGGGTGGCGGCAGGAGAAGAACCGGCAGGAAAGTTAACAGCAGCAGAGAGGCAAGGAGCGTCAGTACCGACTAGCACGGTCTTCGCACCCGCAGCACCAGCAGCAGCAGCACCACCACTAGCGGCAGCAAGCCTAGCAGCATCAGCCGCAGCAGCGGCAGCCGCACTGCCACCACCAACAACAGCAGCAGCCGCAGCAGCAGCAGCAGCAACAGCTGCTGCGAGCCTAGCATTGGTGGTAGAACCAGCAGTGGCTGGGTCATCGCTTCCGTTGGGGCCAGTGGTGGCCGATCCTGCTGCAGCAACGTCGAAAAGGGGTGACGAAACAACTGCTACAGCCGTAGTGCTGACAGGAGAAGCGGCAGGACGGACGTCTACAGCACCTATGGCTGCATCAGTCGCCGAAGCAGCAGCAGCGGCATCGGCCAAAGCGTCAGTTATTGCAGCAGCAGACTCAGCAACAACAGCAACGAGTGCTGGAGTGGCAGCAGCAGAGGTAGAAGCAGACACAAGCGGAGGAACAGCAGCAGCAGCAGCAGCAGCAGCAGCAGCAGGGGCAGCAGCAGCAGTGGGGTCGGCAGTGACTGTGGCAGTGAACGTGCGGCCCATGGTGCCGCATGAGATGGCTGCTCGATGCGTGGAGTGCATCAAGGTCCCTCCTGGAGGCAAGCCAGAGGTGAGAGTCTACGTGTCGCCTTGTCCTCCCCTCTCCACTTGTTCTCCCCGCTCTTACTCCCCCCACTTGCCCCTCATGCATCCCTGCTACCCCAATGGCTTCCACCAGCATTCTTTCCCCCGCCCCACTCCTGCCTTCCCGCCCCCACAAGTTGCCACCCTGCTTCCTAAGCCATCCCATTCTCCTGTCTGCTCTTCCCACTCCAGATGCACGTGTCGCCAGGCTGGGTGTTCACATACGACTGTGTGTGGAGGGAGAGACCCTCCCATGCCTCAGTCGACTGCTCTTTCCTCCCCCGTCCCTCCTCTCACCCCATCTCCCCCACCAGGTGCACGTGTCGCCAGACTGGGTGTTCACATACGACAATGTGTACGGCAAGATGAGGACAAGCCCACCTATGCCTCAGTCCGCTCCTTTTTCCTCTCCTTCCTCGCCCGTCTTCAATCCACAATCCCACTCTCTTCCCTCGCCAGGAGCACGTTTCGCCAGACTGGGTGTTCACATACGACTATGTGTATGGAGGGACGGGTCCACCCATGCCTCAGTCGAATGCTCTTTCCTCCCCCGTCTCCACTCTCTCCCCATCGCCCTCGCCAGGTGCACGTCTCGCCAGACTGGGTGTTCACATACGACTATGTGTATGGAGGGACGGGTCCGCCCATGTCGCAGCTCTTTGCCGACTGCATCATGCCTCTTGTGCACGGGCTGTTTGACGGTTACAACGCTACGGTTCTCGCATACGGGCAGGTGAGAGAGGTTGATTGATGGTGACAGATATACGGTCTTCACATATGGGCAAGTGAGGGAGTATGTTTGATGTTTACATCGCGAAAGTGTTTGACAGATGAAAAGTTTTCCCAAACCACACTGCTTCAGCAGATTCCAACAGCATGGGCAAAGCAAAGCACTGTCCTTTCGGCCACAGCGGCTGCTGCTGCTGGCATCATTAACGCCTGATCACGCATGGCTGTCGGGCATGGCTGCTGCTAATTAACCCACGCATGGCTGTGGGGCATGGCTGCTGCTAATAAACCCACGCATGGCTGTCAGGCACGCCTATCTCTTCCCCATCTCTCTCTCCCCAACGTGCAGACCGGATGATACAAGATGTACACAGCTGATCGAAGCAAGAGGGCTGCTTTCCAGTCATCGATTTCTGCCAGTAAAACTATCTCAGTTCCCAATTATTCCCATCCTCCCTCCTTAACGTGGCAGACCGGGTCAGGCAAGACGTACACCATGGGCACGGCTCTTCAGAGCACGGCTGCTACTGCTGAGACAGACACTAGTGCGGTTACTACCAGCAGCGGTGGTGGTGGTGCTACCAGCACAGGCAAGGACGAGAGTCTGAATAGCGGCGACAGTTTGAGTGGCAGCCCTAATAGGTTCAATTGCAGCAGTGGGAGCAGTGGCAGCGGCAGCGGCGAGAGGAGGGAGGGGAGGAGCACCACAAACGGCAGCGCAGTGGGAGCTGTGAGTCCAGCGTCAGTGGAGAAGGAAGGCGGGGTGGCGAGGCGCGTGGTCAACTCGCTCTTCCAACGTGTGGAGGATCTCTCACACTGCTCTCGCTTCCAGATCCGTGTTTCACTCATTGAGGTGCGTTGGTCAATGGAATCAGTGGGGCCAGCAGGGGTCAGTGGGGATTTTTAGTAACTCAAAGAGGGGCTGTGAGTCCAGCGTCAGTGGAGAAGGAAGGCGGGGTGGCCAGGCGCGTGGTGAACTCGCTCTTTCAACGTGTGGAGGACCTCTCCCACTGCTCTCGCTTCCAGATCCGTGTCTCACTCATTGAGGTGCGTGGGTTGCGTGGGGTCAGTGAGATCCATAAGGACGTCATTCACGACGACATTCACGACCTCCTCGAGTCAAGCATGCCTCTTTCTACTCATGTCGGCATCATGTTTCCCCCCCTCCACTCCCCTGCACCGCCCCTTCCACCCACTCAGATCCACAAGGACGACATCCATGACCTCCTGAAGACTAGAGTCGTTTGTTGAGCATGCTCCTTTCCTTTCATGTTTCCTCCCATCTCGATTTTGCTCCACTGCCCTGTATCCAGATCCACAAGGACGATATCCACGACCTCCTCGAGTTCCTCGCCGCTCCCTTCCCCACCTCCGCCCCCTCCTCCGCCTCCCCTGCCACCGTCGCCGCCCTTGCTGCTGCCGCTGCTGCGGCCCGAGCCTCCCCCTCAGGCCCGGCGCCCCTAGGGCCGGCGCCACCGCCCCGACAGACAGTGGCGATCCGGGAGTTACCGGGGGGGGTGTCTCTCACAGGGGTTACAGAGCAGGTGGTTACCACACGAGACGAGGCTATAGCCTGCTTGGAGCATGGACTGTTGTTCCGAGCGACAGGCAGTCACAACCTGAATCAGCGCTCCAGGTGGGTTTGTGGAGGGTGGAAGCATGGGTCTGAACAGATGGAGTAGCGATGGTGGGTGGGTGGTTACCACAGAGGACGAGGCTTTAGCCTGCTTGAAACACGGGCTGTTGTTCTGAGTGACTGGCAGTCACAACCTCAACCAGCGATCCAGGTGGGTGTGTGGGTGGCGTGTGTGAAGGGCGGAGAAAGAGGGGTGGGTCTGAGCAGATGGAATGGTGGTTACCTCTTACTCGAGTTTTTCTTTGCATTAATCAGCTCAGATGGAAGGGTTACCCCCTACACCTCTTTCCCACCCTCTCCCCTCCCTTCTCTCTCGGTTCTGTTCGTCCCTTCCCCCACCCCTACACCTCTTTCCCACCCTCTCCCCTCCCTTCTCTCTCGTTTCTGTTCGTCCCTTCCCCCATTTCTTACCCACTCACTTCGTTCCTTCCCACCATTCGTTCCCACGCCACCTTCACAAGAATTGTGGATCAGTTCAGGCGGAAAACAATCTCACTGATCCCACATGTGTCCCTCAACCCCTCCCCAACTTTCTCTCTCCTATTCTTCTCGTCCATTTCCTTCTTCGCACCAGTCGTTCCCACGCCATATTCACAATATTCGTGGACCAGTTCAGGCGAAGAGCAGTCCCGTTGGACGCCACTGCTCGCCTTTCCACCAGCGTGACAACCGCCGCCGGCGCTTACCTAAGCTCCAGCACCACTGGCAGTACCAGTAGCAGCAGCAGAGCTTCGCTCGAGAGCGGAGACGGGTCGGGGAGAGCTGATGGAGTGGCGCTGTTCGGGCAGGACGAAAATGTTTTGTTTGGGGTCGGGCGGATGGACGAGGAGCATTTGTGTGCGAAGATGCATCTGGTGGACCTGGCGGGCAGCGAGCGAATCAAACGCACCAAGGCAGAGGGCGCTCGGCTGAAAGAAGGTGGGTCCCTCCCAGTAGAGTAGGTATTGCAATATGGGGGGACGGTGAGTCTTCCCAGATAACCTCTGGTAAAGCAAGGCAATTCAAACGCCTTATTGCACAGTCGCTCTCATCAAGCCTCTGGTAAAGCAAGGCGATGAATCTGGTGGGGCTGGCAGGCAGCGAACGAATTAAAAGTGACATTTGAGTCGACTCATTGACCGCTACTCTTGTTCCACCTCCACCCTCCCTCTCCAGGCATTCACATCAACAGGGGTCTCTTGGCCTTAGGCAACGTGATCAGTGCGCTCAGCAGCGATGACAAGAGGAGGAAGGATGCGGGGGGGGGAGGAGGTGCAGGGTTCACAGCGGCGTTGATCCCGGTGCACGTGCCGTATCGAAACAGCAAGCTGACACGACTGCTGCAGGTGTGTGTGTAAGGGGGGGGGGGGAGGGGGGAGGGGGCGGAGAACGTGTGGCTGATGGTGTGTGTAACTTGCGAATCACATGCATCGCTTCAGCGTGGTTCACAGTGGCGTTGATCCAGGTGCACGTGCCGTATCGAAACAGCAAGCTGACGCGGCTGCTGCAGGTGCGTCTGTGCGTGTGTCCGTGTGCGTGTAATTTGCATATCACATGCATCGCTTCAACTGGGTTCACAGCGGCGTTGATCCCGGTGCACGTGCCGTATCGAAACAGCAAGCTGACGCGGCTGCTGCAGGTGCGTCTGTGCGTGTGTCCGTGTGCGTGTAATTTGCATATCACATGCATCGCTTCAACTGGGTTCACAGCGGCGTTGATCCCGGTGCACGTGCCGTATCGAAACAGCAAGCTGACGCGGCTGCTGCAGGTGCGTCTGTGCGTGTGTCCGTGTGCGTGTAATTTGCATATCACATGCATCGCTTCAACTGGGTTCACAGCGGCGTTGATCCCGGTGCACGTGCCGTATCGAAACAGCAAGCTGACGCGGCTGCTGCAGGTGCGTCTGTGCGTGTGTCCGTGTGCGTGTAATTTGCATATCACATGCATCGCTTCAACTGGGTTCACAGCGGCGTTGATCCCGGTGCACGTGCCGTATCGAAACAGCAAGCTGACGCGGCTGCTGCAGGTGCGTCTGTGCGTGTGTCCGTGTGCGTGTAATTTGCATATCACATGCATCGCTTCAACTGGGTTCACAGCGGCGTTGATCCCGGTGCACGTGCCGTATCGAAACAGCAAGCTGACGCGGCTGCTGCAGGTGCGTCTGTGCGTGTGTCCGTGTGCGTGTAATTTGCATATCACATGCATCGCTTCAACTGGGTTCACAGCGGCGTTGATCCCGGTGCACGTGCCGTATCGAAACAGCAAGCTGACGCGGCTGCTGCAGGTGCGTCTGTGCGTGTGTCCGTGTGCGTGTAATTTGCATATCACATGCATCGCTTCAACTGGGTTCACAGCGGCGTTGATCCCGGTGCACGTGCCGTATCGAAACAGCAAGCTGACGCGGCTGCTGCAGGTGCGTCTGTGCGTGTGTCCGTGTGCGTGTAATTTGCATATCACATGCATCGCTTCAACTGGGTTCACAGCGGCGTTGATCCCGGTGCACGTGCCGTATCGAAACAGCAAGCTGACGCGGCTGCTGCAGGTGCGTCTGTGCGTGTGTCCGTGTGCGTGTAATTTGCATATCACATGCATCGCTTCAACTGGGTTCACAGCGGCGTTGATCCCGGTGCACGTGCCGTATCGAAACAGCAAGCTGACGCGGCTGCTGCAGGTGCGTCTGTGCGTGTGTCCGTGTGCGTGTAATTTGCATATCACATGCATCGCTTCAACTGGGTTCACAGCGGCGTTGATCCCGGTGCACGTGCCGTATCGAAACAGCAAGCTGACGCGGCTGCTGCAGGTGCGTCTGTGCGTGTGTCCGTGTGCGTGTAATTTGCATATCACATGCATCGCTTCAACTGGGTTCACAGCGGCGTTGATCCCGGTGCACGTGCCGTATCGAAACAGCAAGCTGACACGGCTACTGCAGGTGCGTCTGTGCGTGTGTCCGTGTGCGTGTAATTTGCATATCACATGCATCGCTTCAACTGGGTTCACAGCGGCGTTGATCCCGGTGCACGTGCCGTATCGAAACAGCAAGCTGACGCGGCTGCTGCAGGTGCGTCTGTGCGTGTGTCCGTGTGCGTGTAATTTGCATATCACATGCATCGCTTCAACTGGGTTCACAGCGGCGTTGATCCCGGTGCACGTGCCGTATCGAAACAGCAAGCTGACGCGGCTGCTGCAGGTGCGTCTGTGCGTGTGTCCGTGTGCGTGTAATTTGCATATCACATGCATCGCTTCAACTGGGTTCACAGCGGCGTTGATCCCGGTGCACGTGCCGTATCGAAACAGCAAGCTGACGCGGCTGCTGCAGGTGCGTCTGTGCGTGTGTCCGTGTGCGTGTAATTTGCATATCACATGCATCGCTTCAACTGGGTTCACAGCGGCGTTGATCCCGGTGCACGTGCCGTATCGAAACAGCAAGCTGACGTTGCTGCTGCAGGTGCGTCTGTGCGTGTGTCCGTGTGCGTGTAATTTGCATATCACATGCATCGCTTCAACTGGGTTCACAGCGGCGTTGATCCCGGTGCACGTGCCGTATCGAAACAGCAAGCTGACGCGGCTGCTGCAGGTGCGTCTGTGCGTGTGTCCGTGTGCGTGTAATTTGCATATCACATGCATCGCTTCAACTGGGTTCACAGCGGCGTTGATCCCGGTGCACGTGCCGTATCGAAACAGCAAGCTGACGCGGCTGCTGCAGGTGCGTCTGTGCGTGTGTCCGTGTGCGTGTAATTTGCATATCACATGCATCGCTTCAACTGGGTTCACAGCGGCGTTGATCCCGGTGCACGTGCCGTATCGAAACAGCAAGCTGACGCGGCTGCTGCAGGTGCGTCTGTGCGTGTGTCCGTGTGCGTGTAATTTGCATATCACATGCATCGCTTCAACTGGGTTCACAGCGGCGTTGATCCCGGTGCACGTGCCGTATCGAAACAGCAAGCTGACGCGGCTGCTGCAGGTGCGTCTGTGCGTGTGTCCGTGTGCGTGTAATTTGCATATCACATGCATCGCTTCAACTGGGTTCACAGCGGCGTTGATCCCGGTGCACGTGCCGTATCGAAACAGCAAGCTGACGCGGCTGCTGCAGGTGCGTCTGTGCGTGTGTCCGTGTGCGTGTAATTTGCATATCACATGCATCGCTTCAACTGGGTTCACAGCGGCGTTGATCCCGGTGCACGTGCCGTATCGAAACAGCAAGCTGACGCGGCTGCTGCAGGTGCGTCTGTGCGTGTGTCCGTGTGCGTGTAATTTGCATATCACATGCATCGCTTCAACTGGGTTCACAGCGGCGTTGATCCCGGTGCACGTGCCGTATCGAAACAGCAAGCTGACGTTGCTGCTGCAGGTGCGTCTGTGCGTGTGTCCGTGTGCGTGTAATTTGCATATCACATGCATCGCTTCAACTGGGTTCACAGCGGCGTTGATCCCGGTGCACGTGCCGTATCGAAACAGCAAGCTGACGCGGCTGCTGCAGGTGCGTCTGTGCGTGTGTCCGTGTGCGTGTAATTTGCATATCACATGCATCGCTTCAACTGGGTTCACAGCGGCGTTGATCCCGGTGCACGTGCCGTATCGAAACAGCAAGCTGACGCGGCTGCTGCAGGTGCGTCTGTGCGTGTGTCCGTGTGCGTGTAATTTGCATATCACATGCATCGCTTCAACTGGGTTCACAGCGGCGTTGATCCCGGTGCACGTGCCGTATCGAAACAGCAAGCTGACGCGGCTGCTGCAGGTGCGTCTGTGCGTGTGTCCGTGTGCGTGTAATTTGCATATCACATGCATCGCTTCAACTGGGTTCACAGCGGCGTTGATCCCGGTGCACGTGCCGTATCGAAACAGCAAGCTGACGCGGCTGCTGCAGGTGCGTCTGTGCGTGTGTCCGTGTGCGTGTAATTTGCATATCACATGCATCGCTTCAACTGGGTTCACAGCGGCGTTGATCCCGGTGCACGTGCCGTATCGAAACAGCAAGCTGACGCGGCTGCTGCAGGTGCGTCTGTGCGTGTGTCCGTGTGCGTGTAATTTGCATATCACATGCATCGCTTCAACTGGGTTCACAGCGTTGTTGATCCCGGTGCACGTGCGTATCGAAACAGCAAGCTGACGCGGCTGCTGCAGGTGCGTCTGTGCGTGTGTCCGTGTGCGTGTAATTTGCATATCACATGCATCGCTTCAACTGGGTTCACAGCGGCGTTGATCCCGGTGCACGTGCCGTATCGAAACAGCAAGCTGACGCGGCTGCTGCAGGTGCGTCTGTGCGTGTGTCCGTGTGCGTGTAATTTGCATATCACATGCATCGCTTCAACTGGGTTCACAGCGGCGTTGATCCCGGTGCACGTGCCGTATCGAAACAGCAAGCTGACGCGGCTGCTGCAGGTGCGTCTGTGCGTGTGTCCGTGTGCGTGTAATTTGCATATCACATGCATCGCTTCAACTGGGTTCACAGCGGCGTTGATCCCGGTGCACGTGCCGTATCGAAACAGCAAGCTGACGCGGCTGCTGCAGGTGCGTCTGTGCGTGTGTCCGTGTGCGTGTAATTTGCATATCACATGCATCGCTTCAACTGGGTTCACAGCGGCGTTGATCCCGGTGCACGTGCCGTATCGAAACAGCAAGCTGACGCGGCTGCTGCAGGTGCGTCTGTGCGTGTGTCCGTGTGCGTGTAATTTGCATATCACATGCATCGCTTCAACTGGGTTCACAGCGGCGTTGATCCCGGTGCACGTGCCGTATCGAAACAGCAAGCTGACGCGGCTGCTGCAGGTGCGTCTGTGCGTGTGTCCGTGTGCGTGTAATTTGCATATCACATGCATCGCTTCAACTGGGTTCACAGCGGCGTTGATCCCGGTGCACGTGCCGTATCGAAACAGCAAGCTGACGCGGCTGCTGCAGGTGCGTCTGTGCGTGTGTCCGTGTGCGTGTAATTTGCATATCACATGCATCGCTTCAACTGGGTTCACAGCGGCGTTGATCCCGGTGCACGTGCCGTATCGAAACAGCAAGCTGACGCGGCTGCTGCAGGTGCGTCTGTGCGTGTGTCCGTGTGCGTGTAATTTGCATATCACATGCATCGCTTCAACTGGGTTCACAGCGGCGTTGATCCCGGTGCACGTGCCGTATCGAAACAGCAAGCTGACGCGGCTGCTGCAGGTGCGTCTGTGCGTGTGTCCGTGTGCGTGTAATTTGCATATCACATGCATCGCTTCAACTGGGTTCACAGCGGCGTTGATCCCGGTGCACGTGCCGTATCGAAACAGCAAGCTGACGCGGCTGCTGCAGGTGCGTCTGTGCGTGTGTCCGTGTGCGTGTAATTTGCATATCACATGCATCGCTTCAACTGGGTTCACAGCGGCGTTGATCCCGGTGCACGTGCCGTATCGAAACAGCAAGCTGACGCGGCTGCTGCAGGTGCGTCTGTGCGTGTGTCCGTGTGCGTGTAATTTGCATATCACATGCATCGCTTCAACTGGGTTCACAGCGGCGTTGATCCCGGTGCACGTGCCGTATCGAAACAGCAAGCTGACGCGGCTGCTGCAGGTGCGTCTGTGCGTGTGTCCGTGTGCGTGTAATTTGCATATCACATGCATCGCTTCAACTGGGTTCACAGCGGCGTTGATCCCGGTGCACGTGCCGTATCGAAACAGCAAGCTGACGCGGCTGCTGCAGGTGCGTCTGTGCGTGTGTCCGTGTGCGTGTAATTTGCATATCACATGCATCGCTTCAACTGGGTTCACAGCGGCGTTGATCCCGGTGCACGTGCCGTATCGAAACAGCAAGCTGACGCGGCTGCTGCAGGTGCGTCTGTGCGTGTGTCCGTGTGCGTGTAATTTGCATATCACATGCATCGCTTCAACTGGGTTCACAGCGGCGTTGATCCCGGTGCACGTGCCGTATCGAAACAGCAAGCTGACGCGGCTGCTGCAGGTGCGTCTGTGCGTGTGTCCGTGTGCGTGTAATTTGCATATCACATGCATCGCTTCAACTGGGTTCACAGCGGCGTTGATCCCGGTGCACGTGCCGTATCGAAACAGCAAGCTGACGCGGCTGCTGCAGGTGCGTCTGTGCGTGTGTCCGTGTGCGTGTAATTTGCATATCACATGCATCGCTTCAACTGGGTTCACAGCGGCGTTGATCCCGGTGCACGTGCCGTATCGAAACAGCAAGCTGACGCGGCTGCTGCAGGTGCGTCTGTGCGTGTGTCCGTGTGCGTGTAATTTGCATATCACATGCATCGCTTCAACTGGGTTCACAGCGGCGTTGATCCCGGTGCACGTGCCGTATCGAAACAGCAAGCTGACGTTGCTGCTGCAGGTGCGTCTGTGCGTGTGTCCGTGTGCGTGTAATTTGCATATCACATGCATCGCTTCAACTGGGTTCACAGCGGCGTTGATCCCGGTGCACGTGCCGTATCGAAACAGCAAGCTGACGCGGCTGCTGCAGGTGCGTCTGTGCGTGTGTCCGTGTGCGTGTAATTTGCATATCACATGCATCGCTTCAACTGGGTTCACAGCGGCGTTGATCCCGGTGCACGTGCCGTATCGAAACAGCAAGCTGACGCGGCTGCTGCAGGTGTGGGGAGTGCAAGACGTGTCTTATTGAGCTTGCTTGCTTTAATACCAATCGCTTTGTTGCTTCCTGCACACAGACAGATCTCATCATCACGCTTCCATTCTTGAGACGTCCCAAATCTCATCATCACGCTTCCATTCGTCCAGTGAATGATCTGGTCAGCGAGATAAGATCCACTCAACCTAAGACCCATCCTCATCCTCATCCCATCCTCATGTGCCTGCGTGACTGTCCCATTATCCTCATTATTGTCTGATGCAGGATTCTCTTGGAGGGAATAGCCGCACTGTCATGATAGGTAAGCGCCCAGCCCATAGGCTGAATCATGGCGCTGTGCCAAAGGCTTCGTAATTTCCCTGGACCCTATATAAGAGTCTACTGGTTTGAATTCAACCCCAACAGTTTCACTCCCCCCTAGGCTAGTCCCATGCCATGGAGAGATCAAAGCTCGAATTCGAACCCCCTCCCCTGGACCCCATCCCCCTTTCCCTCCCTGCATTGTCCCTGCACTTCCATCTTCTCGTCTTTCCCTTGTTTGAAGCTCTTGTGTTTCCGTTTCGCCCCTCCACTCCACGTGCATCCTTCCTCTGCTTGTAGCCAGCCGTTCCCGCAGCCTGGGTGCCTCCCTGTGGCACTAATTTAGAGGAGTGTCTCAGCACCATTCGCTATGTCAGCTCGCCTCCTTCTCTTTGTCCCTTCCCATTTCCGCAGCCTGTGTGAGCCCCACAGACTCCAACATAGAGGAGTCTCTCAACACACTGAGATACGCCAACCGGGCGAGAAACATCTGCAACTGCCCCACGGTGAACCGGCTGCTCACAGCAAACTGACAGCATCAAAACCCTTCCCAACCCCCCCAACCTTTCCCCCCCTCTTCCCGTGTTTCCTTGCAGCGTGTGTGAGCCCCACAGACTCCAACGTAGAAGAGAGTCTCAACACCCTGCGATATGCCAATCGTGCGCGAAACATCTGCAACCGACCCACAGTGAACCGGCTGGGCACGGTGGATGCAGAGGAGGTGCGGCGGTTGAGGCAGCACGTGTCTCTGCTGCAGGCAGAGCTGGCTAGGGTGCCACCCCCACTGCCCATCACAGCGGAAGAGCTTCAGGTGGGTGTGCTGAGTCGGCTAAAATGTAACCGCGGAAGAAAGTCAGGTGGGTGGTGGTTGTGGGAAGGTGTAGCCGTGAGGCATTTTAAGAGCAGCAGCATGTGCCATCGGCTGCTGTGAAACAAGTGGGCACATACCACATCTGCAACCGACCCACGGTGAACCGGCTGGGCATGGTGGATGCAGAGGAGGTGCGGCGGCTGAGGCAGCACGTGTCCCTGCTGCAGGCAGAGCTAGCTAGAGTGCCGCCACCACTGCCCATCACAGCAGAGGAACTGCAGGTGCGTTTTGGGAAGAATGTCAGGTGGATGGTGCTTGATGCAGAGGAGGTGCGGCGGCTGAGGCAGCACGTGTCCCTGCTGCAGGCAGAACTAGCTAGAGTTCCGCCGCCATTGCCTATCACAGCAGAAGAGCTTCAGGTGGGTATTGGGAAGAAGGTCTGGTGGATGGTGGTGGATGCAGAGGAGGTGCGGCGGCTGAGGCAGCACGTGTCTCTGCTGCAGGCAGAGCTCGCTAGAGTGCCGCCCCCGCTGCCCATCACCGCAGAAGAGCTTCAGGTGGGTGCTTTCTAGTAGAATGAGAAGGGCCTCTTCTTGTTCCAGGGGACCTGGCTAGAAGGTGCCGCCCTCGCTGCCCATCACAGCAGAAGAATTGCAGGCTGGTTGTGAGTCGGCCCAAAAGTCAGGGAAAGAAAATCAGGTGGGTGCTTTCGGGAAGGTAGCCGGGGTGCCCGCTCCGCTTCCCATCACCCCTCCTCTTCTGATCTCCTTCATTTTGTCTTGCTGCAAGGCCCCTCGAGTAGTGCCCCGTAATGAGGCGGCTTGTTCCATACATCGCTTGCTTCTCCCCGTCCTCCTCTGTTCTATCTTCACTTCTCCCAGGCGTTGGAGCAGAATCTGGCATCTCTTGACGAGGCCAACACCCAGTTAAAGGCGTCTCTAGAAAGCACCCAGTCAGACCTGCAGTCCACCCAGCAAACCCTAGAAGAAACAAAGCTATCCTTGGAATCTGAGAGGCAACGAGCAGATGACAGCGAGGCGGCGTGCGCTGCTCTGCGTGCTGACTGTGCGGCGCTGCGTGCTGACCTGGACAGCGCCACGTCGGAGATCGAGCGGCTGCGCGCCGAGCTGGCGGCGGCAAAGGAGGAGTCAGCGAAAGCAAAAGAGCAGCTGGATGGGTTGAGAAAGTCGCATGACAGAACTGGCCGTGGGTATGGCGCTGTTGGCGCTGCTGCTGGTGCTGGAGCTGGTAGCATTGGCAGTGGTGGTAGAAGGCAGTCGGGCGGAGGTGGGGGAACGGCCGCCTTTGGAGCGGCACGAACGGACGAGATTAAGCGAGTGAAGAGAGAGGCTGATAGGGCAGTGGCTGAGGCGACCAAGAGGGCGGAGAGAGAGAGTAAAAAGGCGGAAGATGCTATTGCTCGGGCTAGGAAGGCCTTAGAGAGAGCAGTAGAGGCAGAGAAGCGAGCACCAGAGGCAGAGAGACGGGCAGCAGAAGCAGAGAGGAGAATAGCGGAAGCTGAGAAGAAAGCAGCAGGGGCAGAGAGACGGGCAGCAGAGGCGGAGGAGAAAAGGGAGAGAGAGATGCGACGGGCGGATGGTAGTGTTGAGCGTTTGAGTTTGGCAGAGGTTCGGGCTGCCGAGGCTGAGGCGGAGGTTCGGGCGCTTCGCTCGGAGCTAGCCTCAGCCGCTGCTGAGGCAATGGCAGCTGCTGTAGCCCGGCAAGCCTCAGAGCAGGAGCAGGTGAGGGTGGTTCGGATGCAGCTTGCCGAGGCTGAGAAGGAGGCTCGGACGAGTATTGCAGAGATGGAAAAGAGATTCGGGAAGGAGCGAGAAGAGTATGAGAGACGGTTTGAAGCTGAGAGGCAGCAGTGGGAGGAGGAGAAGAGGGCGTGGGAGGAGGAGGGGAGGGCGAGGGAGAGGCGGGTGGCTCATGAACGTCATACCTGGAATCATGAGTTGACTGCGGAAGTGGAAAAACGGGAGAGGAACTGGGCAGCGGAACGGGAGATGTGGGAGAGGAGTCTTAGAGAAGAAGGGGAGGTCTGGGAAAGAAGGCTGAAAGAGGTACGGGACGCATGGGAAGCGAAACTGAAAGAGGAAGGGGAGGTGTGGGAGAAGAAACTCGCAGCAGCTGAAGAGAAAGCAGCAGGGGTTGCAGAGAGGATCAGGGTGGAGGTTGAAAGGGCGGAGGAGCAAGCAGTGGCAGGGATGCTGCAGGAAAGGAGGCTTGCAGAGGAGAGGGCTATTGCTGCTGAACGGGCCTTGGCAGGGGAGAGAGCGATGCTGGAGAGGAGAATGGCGGATCTGAGAGCTGAGGTGAGGAAGGCTGCAAAGGAGGAAGAGGCGGAGTGGCTGGGGTTGGTGACTTCTGAAGCTGAGCGGTTGAGTGAGGAGTGTAATGCGTTGAAGTGCGAGTGTGGGGAGTTGAGGAGGGAGTGTGAGGGGTTGAGCAGGAGGGAGAGGGAGGAACGAGAGAGGAGGGAGAGGGAGGAGGCGAGGGCTGTGAGGGCTGAGGCTGCTGCTGCCGAAGCTGAGGCTCGGGTGGCTCGGGAGGTGGAGAGCGTCCAAGAGCAGGCTCGGGAAGAGGCTCGGAAAGAGGCAGAGAAAATGGAGAGTGAATTGGCAGAGGTTTGGGCGCAAGCAGAGGTGGAAGCAAAGAAGGCAGAAGATGCAACTGAGAGGGTGAAAGAATCAGAGGAGCAGGTGATTATATTGAAGGTCAAGATTGAAGGGTTGAGGGAAGAGTTAAACGATCTTGAAGCTGTTCTGGAGGAGGAGGAACGGAAGGCGGAGGAAGCAGAGAAGCTGCTGGTTCGGGCCCAGGCCAAGCTTGCCGAAGCTGAGGCTCGGGCCGAAGCTGCAGAGGGGCGAGTGGAGGAGCTAGAAGGGGAGGTGGAGAGGGCAAGAGAGGCAGAAGAGGTGGTTCGGATGGAGTGTGAAGTTTTGAGGGAGAGTGTGCGGGCAGCAGGGGAGAGAGTGGATGAAGTGACAGAGAGAGTGAGGAGGAGTGAGAGAGCTGCAAAGGAAGCAGAGAAGAGGGCAAGAGGAGCCAAGGAGGAGCAGAGGAAGGCAGAGGGGAAAGCGAGTGAGGCATTGGCAGCAGTGGATGAGGCGGAAGAGAGAGCGAGAGTTGCTGTGCGGGAGAAGGAGGAGGCGGAAAAGAGAGCCGAGGAGGCGAGGCGGAGGGCTGTAGAGGCTGATCGGAAGGCTGCTGCTGCTGGGGCAGCGTTGGTAAAAGCAGAGGAACGGATGAGGGATATGGGAAGGAAGGATGAGGAGAGGGAGGAGGAGGAGGTGGAGATGGGGGGGGAGCAGGAGGAGGAAGAGACGAAGAAGGGAGAGGGAAAAGTGGGAGAGAAGAAGGGAATGAACGGAAGACAGGGGGAAAGGGATGTGGAGGAGGTAGTAGTGGCTTTTGTTTGCGAGATGCTGGACAACGCAATGGAGAGGATGACTGTACAGGAGACGACTCCCGAGGTACATCAAGAGTCACTGGTGAGGAAGAATCAAGCAGAGGAGAAGGAGCAACAGTGTGGGGAAGGGGAAGGCAAGCAGCAGTGTTTGGGGTTGGATGAGGTGGTGGGTGAGCTGCCGGATGGAGTGCAGGATGAACCGCAGAGTGAACTTCGGAACGGAGTGCCAGTGGGAGGCGAGTGGCAGGGCAGGCAGGAGGAGGTTGAAGCAGTGGTGGTGGGCCTAGTGGGACAGGTTCTGGATAGCACCATGACGATTCTGCGGGCTCAGGAGCAGGCTCGGGAACAGGCTCGAGAGCAGGTCTGGGAACAGGTTTGGGAGCAGGCTTGGAAGCAGGCTCGGTATCAGTCGCAGGTGCAGCTTTTCCGGGCAGAGGAGAAGGCTACCGAGGTGACGGAGCAGGTTCGGGGACTGGAGCAGCAGCTGATCAAGGCAGAGGAGCAGGTTCGGCAGACCGGGGAAGAGATTGCGGTGCTCAAGGCTGAGCTGGCTAGAAAGCAGGCTGAGCTGGAGGATAAGGTTTCTGAGCTGGCACTGGCTGTGGAGGAGAAGGAGAGGGGTAGAGGGGAGGTGGAAGCATTGAGGAATGGGATAGAGAACTTGCGGGGGAGGTTGCGAGTGAGGGAGGAGGAGAAGGGGCATGTGGAGGAGCACCTTGAATGGCTTATGAAGGAGCTAGCAGAAGAGATGGGAGAGAGGGAGAAGGAGAGGAGGGAAGTGAATGGGATAAGGGAGGAGATTGGGAGATTGCGAGGGAAGTTGCGGGAAGGTGAAGAGGCGAGGAGGCAGGCGGAGGGGCGAGTGGAGAGGCTTATGAGAGAATTGGCTGAAGCGGTGGAGGAGAGGGAGAGGGGGAGAGGGGAGGTGAATGCGGTACGAGAGGAGGTGAAGGGATTGAGAGGGATGTTAAGGGATGGGGAGGAGGAGAGGAAGCAACTGGAGGAGCATGTAGAATGGTTGATGAGAGAGTTGGCTGAAGTGGTGGTTGAAAAGGAGAGGGGTGAGAGGGAAAGGCGAGTTGAGGGGGTGGAATGGGGTGAGGAGGAGGAAAAGAAAGCAGAGGCAGAGACAGAGATGGAAACAGAGACAGACACTGGGTCAGGAGAAGAGGAAGGGTTCTCAGCAGGTGTGGAACAAGAAGAAGACCACTTCGCAGAAGCAGAAAACGCAGGAGTGGCGGATCCAGAACCAGAGGCAGGGGCAGGGGCAGGGGCAGGGGCAGGGGTTGGGATAGGAGAAGAAGAAGCATCAGAGGCGTGTGTAAAGTGGTCTGTGGAAGCGGGTGCGGAGGAGGCATGTGAGGAGGTGGGTGAGGAGACGGGTGGGGAAATTATCTCTATTCTGCAGTCTCAAGCCGCTATTGCAACTCCTGCGAAGAAGAACCAAGAAGAAGAAGCTCCTTTCGTCACTCCTATCGCCTCCCCTACCGCCTCCTCCCCTGCCTCTCCATCTCCCTCCACTCAGCCTCTTTCTCTGCACCTGACCGCTTCACCTGCTTGCCCAGCAATAGACGCTGCTGCTGCTGCTGCTATTCCCACCTGCCCTTTGCCTGAAACAGTCAGTGGTGATGACAGTACAGCCTCTGGTGTCCCCCTGCTTGCAACATCAGGCATGGACCAGCCATGGAATCCGTTCCTCTCTGTGCCTCCTGACGCCCCACCTGACGCCTCACCTGATGCCCCACTTGCTGCTGCCGTCGACGCGGTTACAGCAGCACCAGCAGCAAGCCTGCCATTCTCTCTGTACAATCCCTTCCTGGATAGTATCGAGGAGCTGTTACAGCAGCCGGAATCCTGTGACAATACTGAAGAAATCTTACCAAAGCAAGGGCCCGTTGAGCCACCGGAGGGTTTTGAGTGGCCTGAAAATTCATTGTTTCTCAGCTTTGACGAACCCTTATTGGAGCCGAAGGGAAGTTTCAAGGAGTGCTTCGAGGAAGCCTTACAGGGTGGCGACGGCAGCAGTGAGGAGCCCAAGCAGACTGCTGACCGTGGCAGCCGCGGCCTTGCTCGTTCCAACAGCAACCCGTTCCTGTGCTCTTGGGCGGAGCTTGATGGGGGGGAGGAGATCTGTGGAGAAGATGGGATTGGTGTGGAGGAGGAGGAGGAGGAAGGGAACGGAGGGTGGGAGGAGAGTGGAAGGATAGGGTACAAGGTTGGATATGAGGAGGGAGGAGGGGATAACAAGGAGGGTAGTGGAGTGGAGCATGAAGGAAGTGGTGGAAAGGGGTGCACTCTTCGCAGCAGTATTTACACTGTCACCAGTGCTGGGGGCAAGGATGGTAGCACTACTGCAGGAGTGACTGCTGGCATCACCAGTGCTAACACCACTGCTAGCACCACCATTGCAAGCACCGCAGGTGCTTGCACCAAGACTGGAGGAGGCTTCATGCGTCTCCCAAACTCCCCCCGCCTCTCATCCTCTCGGGCACCCCCTGCCCTCGCTGCTCGCTCCATTCTCTCCCACACCAAACCGCTTCCTCTCTCGCACTCCCCTGCTGCTGCGGACCCTCTGATTGCAGCAACTGTGGCAGCTGTTGCTGCTTCTGCTGCTGGTGCCGGTGCCGGTGCCGGTGCCGCTCGTGCTACTGCTGCTGCTGAATTTGATGGGAACGGAGATATGGCGGCGGCAGCAGCACAGAGAGGAGCAGAGACAGGAGCATCATCAGCACAGGCAGCAGCATCATCAGCACAGGCAGCAGCAGGGGGATCAGCGCAGGCAGCAGAGGTGGTGCTTCCAGCTTCGATGGTGTCAGCCGCTAAGATTGCTGGCCTTGGGGGTGCGTTTGTATCGTCAGGAGGAATGGGGGCGATGGGAGGAATGGGTGGAGGAGGCGGGGAGGGTAACACAGGGATTTCCCTTGGGGGTTGCTCTGCTGTGGGCGTACACACCAATCAGCACTCACGGGGCCACGTGGAAATGGGAAATAAGAGAGGTGCTTATGTAAGTGGTGAGATAGAGGAGGTGGTGGAGCTGGTAGAGGAAGAGGAGGAGGGGACAGAGGAGGATGTGGAAGAGGAGGTCAAGGCTGTAGAGGAGGTAGAGGAGGAAGATGAGGAAGAAGAGATAGATGAGGTAGATGAGGAACAGGAGGAGGAAGAGGAGGAGGAAGAGGAGGAGGAAGAGGAGGAGGAAGAGGAGGAAGAGGAGGAAGAGGAGGAGGAAGAGGAGGAAGAGGAGGAAGAGGAGGAGGAAGAGGAGGAAGAGGAGGAAGGAGACGAGGAGGAAGAGGAGGAAGAGGAGAGAGAAAGGGGAGCAAGGGGAGAGGCCACGGAAAAAGGGACAGGCTTCGAGAATAAATATGACATGAACACCAGCAGTACCAATAACAGCAGTAGCAGCAGCAGTCGGGGGAGAATGGCCCCTGGAGCAGTGGCATCGGCAGCCGCAATGCTGTCCCGCCTGCGAGGGTCTGTGAAGATGGGGCAGAGCTTCAGACGCCGCCAGATCTTGCCATCTAAACCCAAAGCAGCACTGGCAGAGGGAGAAGCAGAAGAATGGGGTACAGGAGAGGTGGTTTCAGGGAGCAGCAGTGGGGAGGGCAGAGGTGAAAGAGGAGGGGGCGTAGAGGCTGCAAACCAGGGGACCAGTCACTTGGATGAGGGCAACGGTGGTGTGAGTGCTTGGGGGCAAGGCAGCAGTGGTGAGGAGGGGGGTAATGGTCACGCAATGTTTGAGCCGTTTAGTGACCTGCATGCACCACCACCGGCCTTCCCAGACCACCTGGATCTCAACACAGGGATGGATGACCATGAAGATTCCCATGGGAGGCGCCGCAGCATTGTTAGTAGCCTCCTCATGCGGAAGAGTGGTGGTGGAGGGGGAGGGCATGGCACGCACCATGACTTTCAGAAGAGCGGGGAGATCTACAGTGCGCAGCATGTTATAAGCAGATTCAGTGGAGGGAAGAGTGGAGATCTCTACCAGAGAAGCAGCAGCCACACCAACCGCAGCAGCCACAGCAGCCAAGACAGCCATAGCAGCAGCAATGGTGGGGCCGGTGGTGCAGAAAGGAAGGGGTCTACCTCGCCATTCATGGGAGGCCGCTTGGTTCGTAGCAACAGCTTTGGAAGCTTTCCCCTGATTGGGAGTGGAGGCAGCAAGAATGGCAACGACACAAGCAGCAAGAGTAGCGCCACTGGGGAGAGTGACATGGTGGGGGGGAGTGTGAGTATCGGTGGGGCCAAGAAGCCCTCTGGATCTCCCTTTTTAGGAACGTCTCTCGGTTTCAAGGCAGGCAGCAGCCAAAAGAGCAGCAGCAGCAGCAATGGTGGCAGGGGCAGTGGGAGCAGAGGGTTGGGATCTCCTAGACTGTGGAACTCTCCTGTGTTAGGACCCCGAAGGCATGATGCTAAGGGCGGTTATGGGGTCATGGAGTCAGGGGTACTGGCTGCTGCAGAGGAATTTAGTGCATGGGTTGACGTGAAGAACGATACTGAAGAAAGTGCGTACGAGCCAGGAGATGCAGGGCGAGCAGGGAAAAGGAAAGGCTTCAGCCTGAAGAGTGCTCTTTCTACGAAGACAAACTGACAAGGGCGCCCTAGGGAACCCGTTTTGGGCTCTAAGAGTCTAGTTCATCAGACTCTCCATCAGAGGCCATTAGCTGATTGACTTAATTAGTGACTCTCCCGTGTGGAGTGGTAGAACACGACTATGAACGTTATGGTTGTAATTTGATTGTGGAACATACCGGTAATAAGAAACGTAGTGACTTGCCATCACAAAAGGTGGTGAGTGCATGAGAACAACATTAAGGGTTATCACACACTGCCGTGTTGACTACGTATGTGTGGACAGTACATCCACAGTGTGATCATATTGGAGGGGCATACATGTAAGTTTCTCATCGGTTGCTTGATTTTTTGGATGCTTTTTAGGTGGAATATTGTTATGGCTGTGTCCGTTATCGAATCCGGGTACAAGTGACGAAACCGTGGTTTCTGATGTTGACGCAGGTGTAGGGGGCGGAAGGTGGCAGCAATGCTTGAGTCTATCGAGGGAGGAATTCCGCTGATTTACGGCTAGTCATAACTTGCCACCTGGTAATTCTCAACTGAAAGCAGCTCTAGAAGCACCGATGTCCACTGGCTCTTGTCCCACGTCCTTGCTGTACACCCTAATCCGCCTTATCTTCAAAGCCTCGACGGTGTTTTTAAAGAGACCATAAATATTTTTTTGTCTAGTGAGACGGACACCCAAAGATTCCAGGGATATCAGAAAGTACGGAAGGCAATTCAGTGTGACGAGACTCGCACTTAGGGTTGCGATTGGACGGGCGGTTTGGCAATGACGAAGTTGCTGCTTACAGTTAACTAACGTGGGTTACGCGCGTCTATCCACCCGCTGATTTTAAGTCTACTTGAACTACCCCCATGACCTAGCCTGACCTAGGGTAGTTCTCCTAGGGTTTGAAGATAACGGCGTTGAAAATAAGGCGGAACAGGTGTACACAGTCGATGCTGTAGGCTACGGGTACAGCAACTAGTGATCCTCAGGAGTATTTTGTCAAGCGGAAGTGTGCCCATGTCTTCTTACGGGACAAAGAGTGTTTCTGAGGGTGTCCTTATAGCCACTCAAAGTGTACCCAGCACACCCGAACCATAGAGGAGGTGGGTGATTTCCATTGTTCGAGCGGAATGGGGGGTCATGTGTTGTGAGATCCCCTAAAAGGTTTTTGTGCAGCCCTGGCATCAGTTCCGCGCAAGACAAACGATGCATCCCCTCGCCGCCAAGACGACGCTATCTGGTTGCTGATACGGAGGCCCCTTCCACACATAGCCACTTTAATCGCTAGTAAAACGTGGGGTGTTTCCAGGTCCGACGCTCTCCGAATTCGAGAATTTCGAGCAGAATCACTATGAATGTTGTGGTGCTGGTTGTTAAAAATTGGAGTACAGTAAAACGAAAAGGTTGTCCTTTTGGGCACTTCCGGGAACCCCAACCATGCTCACATCGACCGATGGTGAATTTGTGGCATCCGGTACCACGTGGTAGATAACGCATGCGAAAATGAAATGTGGTTCGTCAAACCACCCAGTAATCTGCTAATGCCAACCAGGCATTGCCACTTCAGATCCACTCCCGTGATATGCTGACGTTGTCGTGCTCGCCTTCCAGCAATTCACCCAGGAAAGTGCCCTCTCCGCGGGCATACATCCCTCCTTGGAGTGTGGGGGAATTTCCCTGCCACAAAACCAAATCCGCTTTTCCCCATCACTTCCCGCAAGCGTGTCTCTTCATCCTCCCTCCCATCCAAGCGCGCGGGGATCATGCCAGTAAACCGAACCGCGTTACCCTCGGGAACGGGGGAGTCAGTCACTGCCTCCGCGATTTTTTCTTCCCCCCCTGATCTGAACCTTTTGATAAATCCCGATTAAATTCGTTCCCCCGTGTCCCACATTCTGTCGCACTGTGCTCTGACGCCACTGGGATTGCCCCACGGGTCCGCGACTTGTCACAGAGCTAGGGGATGCGCACACGCGCACACATCGTTCCGCAAAAATACTGTAGCATGTTCAAATCAAACACAGCGAGCCTAGCCAGCCCAGGCGGACCACTTCACCCCCTCGAACTTCCCCGAACTCGAGCCGATGGGGAGGGGAGCTCCCTCTCAGGGGGTCCAAACATGTTCCTGGAGCAAATCTCTCGAGTCCAGCCGGACCGGAGGCGGGCGGGACCCTTCCCCTTCCCCCCCCCCCTCCAATCTTCCGCCTATAGAGAAGAATGTCCCCCGAGCAGTTGTGGCAGCATCAGCAACAGCAACTCTCCTTGTTCCCCCCAGCTGTCCCCTTTCTGGGGGGGAGGGATGGGGGGTTTGAGGGGGGGGGAAGAGAACCAAGCGCACCAGGAAGGAACGCATGCTTCCCCGCGACACAGCACGGGGCATCATGAAACACAGCCACGGCAGGGCGTGGCACAAGCACACCTCAGCGCGTTGCGTCACCAACCGAACTGTAGACAACCTTAACCAACTCAACCGAACTCAACTCAAGAGTGTTGCTGAGTGTGCGACTGTTGCCCTAGTGTGCTGCTGTCAGTCCTCTTTGCCTCCTCACCTCACCTCGTTTCCTGCTCGGTTGCATGCGTGCCTCGCCTCAGCAGCAATAAAGCACGAAATTGCTGCAATGCACATCCCTCTTTCTCCGGCTCGCCTTCGTGCGTAGCTGTGACCCTCCCCCTTCCCTTCCCTCTCCTCCCTTACCTTTCGCGTTCCGTCAACCTGTTTTTAGCGATCAGCAACTCTAACGACAACTGAAAAACTATTCGAAACATTTTTTCTCGAGTTATTATTTGTTCGAAACGGATCGACTACCGTCAATCGCGGAATTTAGAATGCCTGGAGCTCAGAAGCATATTTTCAGAGCTTTTACCACCAAGAGCGCGACCCGAACTGTTTCTGGGGTCAATAGCGCGTCCACCTCTATCGAGGATGAATACTACGCTGGATCCAAGGTCAAGGTAAACTACTTGTCTTCAAGATTCGTTACACCGATTAGGGCTAGATAGCCGGTATTGCTCGCGCATAATCGCTCGCTTCGCAAGGTCCCAAATGTCTGCATTAGTGAGTTGCAGTCTCTCGTACGCGCTCAGCCTCAAGTACGTTTTAGCTCAGATGCCTCGACGACCCGTGTTTCACTATCGTATCCGCGTTTTCCTGCTCTTCATTTTCCCCCCTCCGCTTCTTTTCCTCTCGTTCCCCCCCCCCCCCCAACCGCTCCCTCCCTTCCAACCTCCTCCCCGCCCCTCCTTCCGACCCCCCCCCTTCTCCCCCTTCTCCCCCTTCTCCCCCTTCTCCCCACACCCATGCCTCGTCCTTGACAGAAAGCGTGCGCGAAACGCGGCAGGGTGGTCCGCACGGATCCCGACGCGACCGACGACTCGTCGGAGGACGAGAGCTGCAGCCCCGCTACCAAGCGATGGGTGAAGCCCGCCGCGCCGCAGGTATTTCCCTTCCCCACCCCCCCTCTCCCGCTCACCTCTTCCCTCCCTCCCTCCCTCCCCCGCCCCTCTGCCCCTTCTCCTTTCCCACACTTCCCCTCCTTCGCCCCCCGTCCCCCTTTCCACATCCCCGTTTCCCCTTTCCTTGCTCTCCCCTTTTCCTTGCTCTCCCCCCTTCTCCTGCGACCTTCTGCTGTACTTGCTAACCATAGGAAATCGTTTTTGTTTTTGTTTTTGTTTTGTTTTGTTTTGTTTTGTTTTTTTTGTTGGGTTGACGACGCTATACTGTAATCCTGCCCTTGTTTTTTACGCCTCTTTTTATTTCCGGTCATTCTAATCTTGCAGGTGTTTATCACGCACGGCGTCGATTCTGAGAGCGACAACGAAACGAACGTCACGGCACCGGGCAGCACCGCCACCGCCGTCGGCCCCTGCGGCCTCGCTACTACTCCGTTCGTCCCTCCGCCTTTCGCGCCGAATTACCCGCCGGGTCAGCCGCTTCAGTACATGCCCCAATTTGCCCCCGCTTCTGGCGCATACGCCTATAGTCCCTACTATCCACATGCCGTTCCTCCCGCCAAGATGGGGAGTGGCTGTCAGAAGCGGAGGTCGCCTCCGTCGCCGCCGTCGCCGCCGTCTCAAGCTACTTCTACCGCCGCATCTGCCGCCGCGGCCGCCGCCGCCGCGGTTGTCGCTAGCCCGGCCGGTGCCGCCGTTGCTAGTGCGGCTGCGGCGTATCGCGGGATGACGTCATTCTCTCCCAACGGCATCGCCGTCGGCATGGGGGGGGGCTTTCCTCCCGCGCACCATCTCGCGCGCGTGAATTACGGCGTCTATTACGGACACATGGGCGGCATGCAGACTCCTGCGGCTCGCCTCTTTCCAGGCCCTTCTGCGGCTTCCTCTGTTGCTAGCCCTCCCCCAGCCGCTGCATCTGCCGCCGCCGCCGCCGCAGCGGGTGCAGTAGGTCCGTTTGCGTTCGATTACCTGCCCATGCACTGGATGGGGAACTCTCATATGGGATACCTCCCCGCGCTGCCTTCCCCGCATCTCACGGCGCAAGTGATGCCGCAGATGCCGCCGGGCGCGGCGGAGTTCATGTACATGCAGTACGCCGCGGCGCAGGGGCAGTGCGGCGCGCAGCAGTTCGCGGCGGCGGCGGGCGGTCTGCCGGCCATCAGCCCGGCCGTTAGCTCTGACGGCAGCGCGGTCGGCGCGGCGGCCATGCAGGCGAGGCTGCGCGTGGGGAAGGGGAAGAAAGCAGACGCGCGGGAGAAGCAGCAGCGGTACCGGGGGGTGCGCCAGCGCCCGTGGGGGAAGTGGGCGGCGGAGATCCGCGATCCCGCGCGCGGCGTGCGCCTGTGGCTGGGGACGTACGATACCGCGGAGGACGCCGCGCGCGCGTACGACGCAGCCGCGCGCGCCATCCGCGGGGCGGAGGCGCAGACGAATTTCGCGGGGGAAGACTCCGCGGACGGCGGAGCGGGAGACGTTCTTGGCGCAGGTTCTGCCGCGGCAGGCGCGGGCGCGGGCGGAGCTGGCGGAAAGGCGGCGGTTTCTGGTGCAGGCGGTGCTGGTGGCGCCATACCCGCTGTAGTGCGCACCAAGAAGAACAGCAAGGCGCACAAGTACATGCAGGGCTATTGCAGCGATACTGAGAGGTATACTACGTGCCCCTGGCTATCCCTGCTGTTGGCTGGCTTTTATTGCCCATTGTCCACAATCGATCTTCATTTTTTTTTTCAAGTTAAATTTCCTTTTATTCTTAAGTTGTCCGTCCTCACCTCCTGCCTTTTCTGTTGTATCTACACCTTGTTTGCGTTACAGCATCCTCAGCGAAGTGGCCTCCGAAATCTCATCCTGCACCAAGTCGTCCTCCTGCAACAACCTTTCCTCTGCGCTCTCATCTGCCCCTTCATCTGCCCCGGCGTCGCCTGAACTCAAGACCACTTCTCCTGCCCCAGCTGCACCCCCCTCACCCAACCCCCTCTCCTCCACCACCCCATCTACCGACTCAGACCTCCTCTTTCTCCTCCCAGAGCCTCTCACTCACTCTGCTTCAGCCCCCGAGTTCGTCTCTTGCCATGCCGTCAACATCCCAGCAGCAATTGCAGAAAAGAAATCGGAGGCGTCAGAATTGCAGGAAACCGGCTTGCAGGGAGGATCAGCAGCAGAAGAAGAGGAGTTTCCCGTGTCTGAGCTTGATGCCGAGACCTTTTCTTTCGGTCTGGATGAGGTGTGTGGCGGTGCTGGTGGCGCTGGTGCTGACGGTGGTGCTCCGTTTTGGGACCTTGACGTTCCGCCGTACCTTGAAACGAACGAGATTGGCCTGGACAGCATTTTATGGTAATTCTCGAGGCTGTGTGTGCGGTGAGAAGCGGTGATCTGCAGTTGAAGTGGTGATGACATGGGTGGTGCACAACATCATGACAATGTGGCGAAGCACGAGCGGTGGCGAAAATGGTGGCCTGCTCTCTATCGGTGGCATGTAACTGCAGTATATGCAGTGGTGTCAAATTTATGGAACACGTCGTCATGTGTTACGGCTCGGAAGATATGAAGACTTTGTGGTGAGAGGACATGTCATGTGACGGTTCATGCAACATCAAGAATCACTTCCAGAAGCAGCATGATATCTAGCATTGTTTGGGCATAAAAAGGACCAGAGCATCTCATAATGAGCTGCTCTGGTGAATTCTGCCCCCTGTGGTAGGCAGGAGTTGCTGTACCTGCCTTACCATATGCTTTTCTATTGTCTTCTGCATTCTAATGTCAGAAGAAATTGAGGGGGGTTATAGCATCTCCCCTCCCATTCCTCCAACCAACCTCTTACAATTCTGTACTTGTCTCAAATGTGATGCAGTAATGATACAAATACCGCATTCTTGCTAAGAGTGAAACCAACGTGCATTTAGCAGAGCTGCTACTAGTATGGAATATATGGTGCACATAGAGTCAGCTTCACGTCCCCATGAGGTGCGTGCATGGAATGGAATGGAAGGTTCAAGGAGGGGGGTCGTTGGTGGGGTGCGTAGGAGAAGGGGAGGGGACTGTAGGTACTCAACTCAATGCACTAGAGTGCAGGTGCAAGCACAACAAAATGTAGCAAAATGCAGCGCAGTGCCGTGCTGTAAAAAGCAGTGCAATGAAACACACAGCCTTCCTCCATGCAACATTCTCTCACAAAACCTACTACATTTTTAATCTCCTGAATTGCTAAAACATGCAGCGAGCTCAGATCACTCTACACTACACTGTATCGTTTAACACTACACATGATATGCCAAGGTACCATAACAAAAGTATACGAGCAGCGTTCTTGGCATTTTCTGCCTCCCATCCTTCCCACATCTAGCTCCATTCTTCCGGCGTGTTGAACGCCGTGTTTTCCAAAGGACTCCCATCACCTCCCACACTCGCCCCATTCAGCTGACGTAGCAGCAGCTCCTCCTTCCCATCTTCCTGCCCTTTCACCTGTCCTTTCACCTGCCCGTCGCTCTGCACCTGCTTCCTCTCCTGCCCTTCCTCCTCCTCTTGCTTCTGCTGCGCACGCCTAGCAGCCTCCTCCTCTCGAAGCAGCCCTGCAATGCTCCCAGGCATGTCCGACCCATAGATGTGCCCCATCTTCTTCCTCTTCGTCTCCAGATACGCCCTATTCTCCTGCATGGGGAAAAGCGAGGAAGAGAGTGAGTATTACCGCAGCATGCTCAGCATGCTCCCAGGCATGTCCGACCCATAGATGTGCCCAATCTTCTTCCTCTTCGTTTCAAGATACGCCCGGTTCTCCTGCATACAGGGGGGAGTGAGGGCAAGGGAGAGAGTGATCAGAACATGTGCATGCTCCCAGGCATGTCTGACGCAGACATGCCCCCCCATTTCCTTCCTCTTCACCTCCAGATATGCCCGGTACTTTTGCATGGAGAGGGGAGCGGGCGAAAGGGTGAGAGTCATCGCAACATGCTCAGCATGCGATTCTTGCTCCCAGGCATGTCCGACTCAGGCATGTCCGACTCAGGCATGTCCGACTCAGGCATGTCCGACTCAGGCATGTCCGACTCAGGCATGTCCGACTCAGGCATGTCCGACTCAGGCATGTCCGACTCAGGCATGTCCGACTCAGGCATGTCCGACTCAGGCATGTCCGACCCAGGCATGTTGGCATGTCTTTCAAGATACGCCCGGTTTAGGGTGAGGAGGGAGAGTGAGGAAGAGAATAAAGCGTCACTGCAACAAGTCTAGTTTTGAGGCGTCTAGTTTTGAGGCGCCTCAAAACCCGGTTTAGGGTGAGGAGGGAGAGTGAGGAAGAGAATAAAGCGTCACTGCAACAAGCTCAGCATGCTCTCACATCCTCCCCCCCATGGGGCTGATGGGGCAGAGCAAGGGGAGTCTCCCAGTGACTGCCAGCCCGTGGTGGCCCTTCAGTTCGATGTACTTGACAGCGTTGTTGGTCCAATGCACAGACCGTAGTGGTATTGGTCTGAGCTAGAGCGGTGGTGGTTAGATCTGGAGCGGTGGTGGTTAGATCTGGAGCGGTGGTGGTTAGGTCTGGAGCGGTGGTGGTTAGATCTGGAGTGGTGGTGCTTACAGGGGTGATGGGGCAGAGCACGGGGACTCTTCCCGTGACAGCCAGACCGTGGCCCTTCAGTCCGATGTACTTAGCAGGGTTGTTGGTCATGAGGCGCATTGTCCTTACTCCCAGGTCACGCAGGATCTGAAGGGAATCAAGTAGATGATGATGAGAGGGAGTAGAAAAAAGGAAGGATTGATGGTGAGACAATGATTTTTGAGACGTCTCAAAAATCGTCACGCAGGATCTGAAGGGAGTGAAGTAGATGATGAAAGGGAGTAGAAAAAAGGAAGGAGGATGGTGAGACTATGATTGGTGAGACAATGATTTGTGGGACACGACGCTCGCGGGAAACGGATGGGAGTTTGAAGAAAGCTAAATTCAAAAACTTACCTGAGACCCAACCACTCACCTGCGCGCCAATGCCTCACCTGCGCGCCAATGCCTCACCTGCGCGCCAATGCCGTATTCCCTGGAATCAGCTGGAAAGCCCAGGTCCACATTGGCCTCTACTGTGTCCCGCCCCATGTCCTGCATGGGTGGGGGATGTGTGAAGGGGACACGAGAGGTGAGATGCGAGGGATTTTGCAGCACATCAAGACCACCTTCTTATCAGCTGGAAAACCCAGATCCACATTGGCCTCCGCTGTGTCCCGCCCCATGTCCTGTATGAAGGGGAAGGAAGGAGTGGGGCAGAAAGGAGGAGAGGGTTGAAATGAAGGAGGTGAGGAACGACCAAGTCCGCATTGGCCACTACTGTGTCCCTCTACCGTGTTCTACGCACACTCCCCTCCCTACCACCTGTCCCCTCCCGAATGGACCTTTCATTAGAACACATAAATGTTACAGCACACTAAGATCACGGCATACAGGTAGGCGAGCAATCTACGGCAGCTCGAGCTGTGGCTCGAGCACATGCAGGAGTGGAGATCCCCTCCCTACCACTTGCACCTGCAGGTTATATGTATATGCCTGACGCTTGTGCCCAAGCCCTATGCCCCTCCCCTCATGCCCGCGCAGGTACACACACACACACACACGCGGCCCCGCCCGCCCATCTCTATCCTCCTCATCGCAATTGCAATCAGCCCTCACAGCAAACCAGATCACCCATACCTGCAAGTTGTATGCTTGCAGCTTGTGCCCCAGCCCAATCCCCCTCCCCTCGTGCCCTCATGTCCTCTCAGTTACTTACACAGCCCACCCTGCCCTCCCACCCTTCACAGCAATCACTCACCTGCAGGTTGTATGCTTGCAGCTTGTGCCCCAGCCCGATCCCCCTCCCCTCGTGCCCGCGCAGGTACACACACACGCCCCGCCCCGCCATTTCTATCCTCTTCATAGCCTGCTCCAGTTGTGGCCCGCAGTCACAGCGCCTGGACCCAAAGATGTCGCCCGTGAGGCACTCTGAGTGCACTCGCACCAACACATCCACCCCGTCTCCTATCTCGCCCTGTGTGTGAAAGAGGGAGTGAGTGCGTGGAGGAGGGAAGGGAGCGAGGGGGGGAAGGGGTTGGGGAAGCAAGTGGGGGAGTGAGTAAGTGGACGATTGAGGGGGGCGTGGGGCAAGCGAGGTGGGTGGGCGGTTGGTGCTTGCAGTCACAGCGCCTGGACCCAAGGATGTCAGCTGGTTTTTGAGAATTCTCAAAAACCACCCGTGAGGCACTCTGAGTGCACTCGCACCAACACATCCACCCCGTCGCCGATCTCGCCCTGTAAATGGTGGGGTGGTGGAAAGGGAGGGGGAGGGAAACAGTATGTGGTGAATGAAAGGATTTTTTTAACTGATGCGTACCGCACTGGGCGAAGGTGGTGTGCGGTTCAGAGCATTGCACTCACCTTGACCATGGAGACTTGCCTACTGCCATCCAGCCAGCTTGCATTTGTAGCTGGAAATGTAAAACATGCCCCACTGGGTGGGTAGGCAGTGCAGTGCTGTCGGCTGCAATGCAGTGCAACTCAATGCGGTTCAGTGCGGCGGAGTGCGGCTCACCTTGACCATGGCAGCATGCTCCATGCCATCCAGCTTGCACTTGTAGCTGAAGATGTTGACCACGCCCCACTGGGTGGGCAGCAGGCACTGTGCAGTGCGGTTCAATGCGGTGGACTGCAATGCAATGCATTCCCTCGTGGTCCAATGCAGTGGAATCCGTCTCACCTTGACCATGGCAACATGCTCGATGCCATCCAGCTTGCATTTATAGCTGAAGATGTTGAACGCGCCCCACTGTGTGGGCAGGCGGGCCACTGCAGTTCGCTCCACCAGCTTCTCTCGCTTGCGCCGGTACCTGTGTCACGGGGAGAGGTTGGAGCGGAGCGAATAAAGTTCACTTTTGAGTCAACTCAAAAGAGGAGCGGATGAAGTTCACTTTTGAGTCGACTCAAAAAAGGAGCGGATAAAGTTCACTTTTGAGTCGACTCAAAAGAGGAGCGGATGAAGTTCACTTTTGAGTTGACTCAAAAGAGGAGCGGATAAAGTTCACTTTTGAGTCGACTCAAAGAGGAGCGGATGAAGTTCACTTTTGAGTCGACTCAAAAGAGGAGCGGATGAAGTTCACTTTTGAGTTGACTCAAAAGAGGAGCGGATAAAGTTCAATTTTGAGTTGACTCAAAAGAGGAGCGGATAAAGTTCATTTTTGAGTCGACTCAAAAGAGGAGCGGATAAAGTTCACTTTTGAGTCGACTCAAAAGAGGAGCGGATAAAGTTCACTTTTGAGTTGACTCAAAAGAGGAGCGGATAAAGTTCACTTTTGAGTTGACTCAAAAGAGGAGCGGATAAAGTT